TTGGCCGGTGGTTTATAATGTCGTGGAGCTTCCATGGAATTCGCAATCATCGATGAATGTCAAGGCTCAGGAAATTAGACGACGGTCACATTTAGTGCCGCTAAATCACGCAACTCGCTTCTTTATGCAGACCTGCCGACTGCTCTAATCAATTCATTTGATATTTCTCGTGGATCACTTGCTCTGTTGCCACTTCGACATTGCTTACCGTGGCGTCTTCGTAACTTTGCTCATTCCGCTGTTCCGGATCTGTCCTATTCTTGTCACAAACGCAGTCCAGCGGGCACAAAGATGCCGATGTTCTTTACCTCGAACCCCCGAACAAAACTACAAAGAGGTGGCGTGTCCAATGACCGACGCTAGTACCTGACTGAAAATTTTCGTTGGGCGCCTGGACATGTCGCGAGACCACCCAGAACCTTGACACTGATCGCAGATAGGTCAATTTGCTATATTGAGGGTAACACGGCGTTTTGATTGCTCAGAGCGACCTCCTGTTATGGTTTGTATGCAGCTAGTGCAGGGATATGTCCGCTTTAACCGCCAACCAACAGAAATCTGAGAAGACCAGGATGTCGCAGAGCGGCACAGTCACCCCTTCTTGGAGTCCGGATATAGAAACAGGTTGGCTTTCCCTGACAAGTGAACAATCAAAGGCCTGCCCATTGGTTATTGAAAGCTAAGCCCCAACTAATAAGTCGGCTGAACGGGTGGATAAGATTGCCCGGTCCGACGAACAACAACAACCTACCACTTGACATCCCTTCCTGCGCTCGTCTGCCCAGAACGCCAAACGCTGACACCAACTCACACAGTGAGCAGCGAGTTGTGAGCTGTGCCAGATCTCCACCATGCCTGCGCTTGGAAGCGAGGACGCGGCGTCAGCGAACCTAGCCAATAACCTTGTCTTTGTATCTCTTTCTCATCCTGGAGAGATAACAGCATGCGCTACCACGATCCGTTCCCACGCAGCTCGGACCGTCCATGCTCGTCGGCAGAAGTCCGTCAAGCGTCACCATCCTCGTCCCGAGAGTGACAGCTCGGATGACAAAAAGCCACATTCGATGACCCTGGTCAAGCAACGAGGGCCCGTACCCCAACAATATTTTCAATCCATACTGTGGCCGAAGGAATTCGACCCTTTCGATTCGTTTCTTAGATCACTGGCTCCAAATGAGGATAAGCTGATCAGGGTTTGTAAGTTGGCAGTTTCAGGATGAATCTGGGCTTATTTCCTCTAACCTTACGGTCTAGTCGTTCAGCACCGAGTGCTGAAAGCCATGTCATACCTTCCGGATCCACAGATGTCGTATATATCAGATCTCGATAGGTTCTGGCATTGCGTCACTATGTACTGGGTTCAAACGGCGCTCTGGAACAGCGGCATGCTCGATAGTTTGTTTCTCTTGACCTGTCGGTATATAGCTGACCGCGCTCCGGGCTGGAAGTCAGGATTCACACATCAAGCGTTGCATTACAAGCGAAGGTGTCTGCGTGGGATTGAGCACTCGGAGTCATTTACTGACCACGTCATAACAACACGAATGGCTATGGTAGCCGATGAGGTACGATTGTACCCTCCTCTCGCATGTTTCAAAGTCTGAATGTGCTGATAACTGACACGTCTACACAAGACCATGTTTGGAACCTCGACTCGGGTGGAGCGACATCTCCGAGAGGTTTGCGACCTGCTGCGGACAAGAGCGGCCAAAGAACGCAAAGAAGTCGTTGCTTTCAACAGACGCTTTGGAAATGTGTTAATAAGCTATACTCAAGGATGTGGTGGGAGTAGTCTTGGATCCGTGGGATGGAAGCTTCCAGATGCAGCTCCAGGTGATGAAGGTGAAATCGGGTTGGTGTTTTACCTCGGCAATGGGGATGCTTCAGCTGTGAACTTCTTTGCAAAATAGGTCACTGGCGGTTTCAGCATGGGGCTCAAAAGGGAGGTTCAGGGTCAATCAGTGACCATTGATGAATTATCTAGAACTTGGGAGAAACTAAACTATAGCGACTTCTGCATCTTCAGTGATGCAACCAGCCTCCGAGAGACAACTCATTCGGTCCAAATCTCCCTGTTGAATGTAAAAAGTGGCTCCAGCTCCCAATGTCCAGTGAAACTATCAATATAGGTGTCCTTAGCAGAATCCCTTAACCCTCTGACCAAGCCGACGTCTCCTGCCAGATCTCAATCGAGAATCGACTGAATGCTTTGCGGCACTTAGCATTGAGATCTTCTTGAACCAAAGTCCTTCATTTTCCTCATTGTCTGCTTGAACTTGCTTTGCGTCGGGGTTTGTGGGGTGACCATTGTGCCAGTGACATCTCCGTTGTCGCACGCGGGGTCCAGTGGCTTCCTCTGGCGCAAGTACAAGCCGCGGAGACCAGAATGGCCTCGCACTAAAGGACCTGGCTCAAAGATACTATCGTATTCTGTTTCATCATCATCAAAGATGTCCTCGTCTTTGTTGCCGTAACGCATTTTGCAAGCCATGCTCGAGACAACTTGGAGGAATTGAGTGACGGTCAGTGCAGGGTGAGCGAGTGCTGTGATGCTGTTCTGGTTCAGAGCCTTGGATAGCTGAATTGCCCTTGCAAAGGGACTGACAGTGTTGCCCTCTGCGCTGTTGTATTGGTGATTGTCGAAGTCGCTCTTATCTGGGTCGAGGGATGGATATGCGTAGTTGGACCTGACTATCGTCAGAAAAGTTCGGAGAGACGGATGAATTGGGATATTCTCTCACCTTCCCGGGCATTGAAATTTCTGCCGGAAGGAATTCTCGTGGTCTTGATATGAGATCAAGACGAAATCGTCATCACAGGAGTCGCAAGCGGTGATGAGACGGACCATGTTGATGTTTTTCGAGTGAGGATGCTGTTTAGGGATGATGTTGTCGTTGGCATATCTGCCGCCAGTTGTTTTCCAGCTTGCCTTCCTGATGTTGACGGATTTGTAAAATGATGGAAGTGGAATCTGAGCGAGCCTTTGCGAGCGACCTGGAGGCTGGAGTCAAGTGGGTGACGTGAGTGACGTGAGTGACGTGAGTGACGTGAGTGACGTGATTCAGTGAAGTACCTGAAGACAATGCCAATCGGGGGCAGGAGCGAGGACACGACACAAATCGCTCCTTCCTCTCCAAGTAGGCTTCTTTCTCTCTCCTGATCTGCGCTTTAGTGCATTGTCACTTGCCTCCTCTGGCACTGTGGGTCAAGGTGATGGATTCTAAAGAGTACGGTGCCTACCTACACAGGCACTCTCCGCCGCTCATCAGGCAGTCTCAAGATATGCAGCAGAATCACTAGACCTAGGGAAAATTTGCACAGTGCACATTATTTTCTTTAACTGTGCTGAAGCTATTCCCATCTCCCCGTCAAACGACCAGCGGGACGCGTAACGGACCATCTCAAGATCTTCCCCTCTCAGATTTCAAACCTCATCTATTTTCCTCTCCGATTTTTTTCGACTTCTTCCTGGGCATTGCAATCCATGCATACGAGCAGTCGCCGCATAGCAAATACCTTAACCCATCTTTTGTGTTCCTTCCAAATACGTCGAAAGTCGTGGACTTCCAAGTTCCTTCCCATAAGTTCCCCACAACTAGCACTATCGCTACATGTATCCGAACCTGCCAATTTTGAACGATCCAAGCAAGTCACAACGTTGCTATGAAGGAGACCAGCGACAGTGTCTTCGGGAAGTGGACGGAGAAGTGGGAGGACGATGTCGAAAAGGCCAAAGCAGCAGAAGCTTTTCTCCAACGTCGAAGACGTGAGCTCAAAGCAAGAATCACCGCAATCCGCCGCAAGAGGAAGATATCTCCTAAGCAACAACATGAAAAGAAGCCTGCGAGGCCCGAGAAGCAGGCTGCCTCGCTTGTGCCAGCTGACAATCGGGATATCAAAGCACTGTCGGTATCGACTTATTTCTGCAGGAACGACAAATGCTAACTCTTCACGGAACCACCAGGCCACGCGGACACCGGTCGAAACGGGCCAAGAAACCTCCTCAGAGCTTGCTAAGGACGGTGCTGATCGCCAAGAACCGTAAGAACATCGATCTTCTGTTGGTCAGCAGAAGGAAGCGTGCTCAGAGAGAGAGTGTGGCTCAGGGCCACGATGGCGGCGCGGCAGCGAACTCTTGATAAACGTAAGGGGAGGACATGGTAGCAGGTCTTTAATGGGCAGCTGGACTGCAGGGTTGGTGATCTGGGCGCTGTTACGTGGGGATGTCGTTGTGCTCGAGAATTTGTTCATCTTCCGAATCGCAAGATTGAGTCGAAATCATTTCACGCCCGCAGTGTGACAAAATAATTATTTTTGAGCATTTGCATGAGAAGGGCTGTTGAAATAAGAGGAACCAGCGCTAGGCAGGATCCCGCGGGCGTCTTTCCGTATGTTCTATACCTAATGAAGGAGGCTCGTATTAATTTGATTCGGTAGGTAGTTGGGCCAGCTGAAGTTGAAGTGCTGCTGGTGCTAGACACTCAGTCATCAGTGCGGAAACCAACTCTTGCTCCCACACCATTGCTTTGGTGAACTGGGTATACAAGAAAGGTCAAGTGCAGAAAAGAAACGAGATAAAAACAACTTTATTGTCCAAGAGTTGGATAATTCGTTCTACCCGCAACACACAAGGCCTATCCCACCCTCAGAAAACCAGCCCTTCTGCTCGTTACGATACCTCGACCACTGCTGTTCCTTTTCATACCATTCACCGAGTTCAAATCCATCCATAATGGTCTCTCTTGAGAATGCGACTTCGCCCGGCAGCGCTAAACTTACCCCTGCGCCCAGTCCGCAAAAGGATCACGCCTTGATTGAGTGCTCGTCAGAGGATGAAATCGTCACCAGCCCTGTCACGCTTGGCGGTCCCTCGAAATGTGCCTCGAGTTGCAAGAGGCGTCGCACGACCCTTCTCACGGCGCCTACGTCAACTTCTTCAATCTTCTTGCGTGATCCGCCCGCATCGCCTACCCCCACCCGCTATGCAAGACATTCTGGCCATGCGCGAAACTCTAAGGTTTGCACACTATTCAATTGGCTTTTACATTTTTTTGTCACTAAAATTCTTCCAGGCCTCCGCAAAGAACCCGCGCAAAATTGCGGTGGTCAAGAAGTCCCTCAATGACAAACCTCCTTCCCAGAGTACTCCCACAAAAGATGCACGCCCGTGGGACTACGACATCTATGACGTGATGGCGGAGCCGGAGATCCCGTCTTTCTCCTCTCCCACCGCAAACTTCGAACTTTGCGATGCCGTCCAAAGCTCCAGCTCGCCTGCTTTGACGTCGACAGCAGCTGCCCAGAGCCTACTCGGCAGCGTTGTATTCACGGCCGCAGAGATCTCTGCTATCATCCAAGATCTAGAAGATATCGAACTGCGCCAGGAAGGGGACGAGAGGCTGAGGATGCATATCAGGATGCTGAGGGAGCGTCTTGCGGAGTGAATATGACAGTTCTCGCCCGAGTGGAGACGGTCGAGCTGTGCGCAGCGCTTCAGGGGATTTGACCATGGTGGGATGAGGTCCTCTTGGCTTGGATAAAAGGATCATGATGTCGTGGAGGTTTGAGAGGTCGTTTACTTAAGTGTACAAACCTCTACCGTCCTGAGACGTCTCTGAATAATGTCCCTCAGTCAGGCACAAGGCCGTCCATGGTTGTTGTGGAATGCATTTATGAGGTGGTATTGGCCGCCTTCGTCAGAGACTTCAGCTTTGAACAGTTTTTTTACCAGTGAATAGTTGCAATCAGCTTTCCACAATCTCATCAGTTAGCAAGAGTCAGCAATGCTTGTACGAGCCCCCATGGCGATACAATGATTCTCCGATGAGACGCACGTAGCTCGTCTCTTCTAGTTCCTGGGATGTTGCTGATGCCGGCCGCTAATTAAGCTATCACCAGTCCACGAGTAAGGTCGAAGACTCCAAGTCAGCTGATGATCTCGCGGAAGGGCGCGAAGTGTTCTTGTCCCTGAGTAGCGTCATCGGCTCCGCTGTGGGGCATGCCAACGCGGGATCGGCAACTTCTCGCATGACCCGTAATCTCAATTCCCGGGTCACAATCGGCAAGCACCGAGTCGGCCTTGTCGTTTCAGGGCCGCCATCCCACATACCGTTTGACGCGCCACATGCCGTAGCTCACGGACGCGGGAGTGACTTCTTTAGGCGGTGATTCCGGTCTTCGGGTCCCACAATGGCGGAGACGGGGGCCGCGGGTCTCGTTGCCGTTGCCCGGCATTCGAACATTCTGGCGCCTTTCTACGCATGGCCCTACACTAAATATAGTCTATTCAGATAGTCGGGTCAGATGTTTGTCGGTTTTGACCCGCAGTAGCCCTACAAACAAACAAACGAGAATCGGAGATAAAACCAAAAGAGGGAAATCCATCGCTGTCGAGCATAACATAAGAATAGTGCTGATGTCTACCCGCACGTCCACATGGTGCCCTCACGATGATCCAGACAAGACGTGATGGATATGAGAAAGAAGAAGAATTGACCCTACCTCATTCGATCTTGTCTAGCCAAGGAAGGGCAGCAGACTGCTTCACCCCTGTGTACCCCACGATTCCCGAACATCCCAAACACGCCCACCTTTTCATGACATGGTACCACCAATTGCGGCTATGTTACCAACGTGCCACCACAGTCTCTAGACATCGTTGTTACGAAGTGGTTCAGGATATTTACCGGAGGCATGTCCGCCGTATGAACAGCCAGTATGGACCTCTGCATGTTGGGAGTGCGTCTCCCCTACGTCTTCGTCGAGAGATGTCAATGCCAGGGTCAAGAATCGTCCAGCTAGGTTCGAACTTGTGGACCAGCCTCAGTTCGCGACGGACCCCTGCCCACCCCATAAGTATCCCAGATCGAGCGAGTTAGCCCTGAGTTGTACATGAGGCTCAGTCAACAGGACCTTGTTCTGACTCCCTTTTAGGGTCTCATTCGACCCGGAGATCTCCAGCCATGCAATGGGGGTAGAATGGAGAGAGTCCGGTGGGTCAGTGGAACTTCACGACTAGGAGTCGAATTATTCATGGTTCAGAAAGAGAAAGAGCTATGCGTCGGAGGCTGAAGCAATTTATTCAGATGTTCGCGAGTCAATAGAACAATGATTTCACATAGCCCGCAAAAAGACACCAGGAGGGCTTGTATAAATAGAGAGGCTTGCCGCCAACTGAATGGCATCTTCTTCACCTCACTCACTCACCCACATTCATTCATCAATCAATAGTCCCAACTCGTTTATTCACCCCAAGTCTTCAACTCTCTTCCAGATCTCTATTCCTTAATTAACACCTTCAACACCACAAAAATGCAGTTCTCTACTATCTTCCTTGCTGCTGTCGCCTGTGCCACTGGGTGAGTCACCACACTGAACTGGGAGCCACAAGCCACGAAGTTACCTAATACAGATAGCGACTAACTTCAATATGAAGCGCCGTTGCAAACCTTCACACTCAAGCTTGGTGCGTCACCAACGGTCTCCAGGACAACGACCCCAAGGTATGGACGCACCCTCTGAGTGAGATTGTGTTGAAACTAACAATCACAGAACTCCGACGCCACGCAGGCTGCCTGCGCCCAGTACAAGCAACGACACACCGGAAATGACCAATGGGACATTTGCCCCGACTGCGAGATCGTGAGCCTTGTCATCCAGACACGTTGAATAACACTCCAGCTAACGTGAACCAATAGGGTGTCAAGGACAAGGACGTCCAGGTCTGCAACTCAGCTGCCAAGCACATTGGCGGTGACGAGTGGGAGGAGTACTGCATCCAATTCGGGGCTGAGAAGGGCAAGGCCAACTAAGTCTCTCACTCAGATGAACAAATCATGGAGGCAGGAGCATTTGCTGGAAGAGGGCTTTCGGTAAAGACTGCAACCCACCTTACCTTAAGACTAGATGAATGATAATGGGTTGCAAAATGATGTGAACGTTGGTGATCAAACGATGACAGAAATGGCCATCCAGTTATCGAATGCCTTGGATCTGCTCGCTTTGACCGGCCAAGACAACACAGAGTACCAAGGCCGATCGGGAACCCCAAGAAGAGTCAACGATCCATGTGAAAACTTGGCACTGCAGGGATCGGATGACTAACTGATGCATACCGAGTGGTATGTAGCTGAGCCCTTGAGATATGTAATCTTGGCTATCAGAGTACGAACAATAGCCAAACAAGGGCGAGAAGCGACATTTCATTCCAATGGGGAGCGCGGCCCCAATCTCAGGCTTCTCATGGCTGAGATAAGACTGATGAGGGACTAGATGAGACACAAACCAGCCCGCAGGCAACGAAGCGGGGCTCTGCGACATGTCTGTGCTGGGCACTATTGCTTTTGACCACATAAAAGAGTGCGGAGCTGAAAATACGGGCAAGCCTCTTATTAAAGGGCTTTTTGCTTGAAGGGTCTATGATAGAGCCAGGGTCAAAACTACCTAGGAAGCGCCGCTATAGCCGTGCAGACTTCCTCTTTTCTCTTTTCTCTATTTGTATTGTCTTTTTGCGGCTGTTTGAGATTCGATTCTGCATTGTTTGCACCTGTTGATCCCTTCGAGCGATGATCATTCAAGCCCGCAAAACTATCCACAAATGTGCTCTTACAAATATTTCGTTCAGAACGGACATTATTACATAGGAGGCATTGGTTATGTCAAACAGTCGCATTTAAAGCAACAACATCGCAAAGTTCCATTCAGATGGGTAGAATCTGTGGTGCCCTGCCAAGAAATGATTGGTTCAGCTTGAGGACACGAATGTTAAGTAGACGCAGTGCACTGAGTATACCCCTTAACTGAAATCAAAGAACCAAAACATCGGACTAAAGTAACCGCCTTTTTACTGACCCTTAGCAAGTATTGCCCCATGACGCTGCTGCGTCTTGTCCCCTCAAATCTCGTCCTCCTTCTCAGCTGCTAGAATATGAGCGATACTCGAGTTGATTAGCGAAAGCATCATAGAGAGTGGCAGGAAGAAGCTCAGGGGAGAGAAGTGTAGCTAGTAGCTGGCGAACATATTTACCTGTTACCAGCCTCAGCTCATAGCTTTTTAAGTGACGGCTGCCCCGATAATGAGGGTTATCGAGACCCGCGACCAGCTAGAATGGCTTCGTATAGGCAACAGCCAATATAGTAAGGGTTGGGGCGTTGCTTTGTCTTTGGTCAAGCATATCCATCGGTGCTGGAAATACCACTGCTGTTACAATTTGGACGAGTAAAATTGTGTTGATGACGCGTCACCATATGAATAGCCAGACTTGAAGTCTTGGCTGTCTCTCGTCAAAACATCCCAAGGTGATGAGAATTACAAGGTAATCAGCTCACAGGTCCGGCAGGCATAAGATTACTACCACGGCAGGCTGTATATAAGCCGGAAATAGCTGGTAGTAGTTTGCTGCACCTACTTATGCTTTGAACCAAGGCATCACGCACTGGTTACTGGCGTTCTTTTGGCGGATCAGGTGTCTCAGTGCCGGATAGCGGAGAGGGAGTTGGAGGTCTCAGCGGTGTGTCTCAAGCCTCGCCATCGATTATTACCGGACAGCGCGACAGCCAAGCACCACCCGCAAGGGTGGTTTGTGTGTGAGTGTGGCATGTTGTGTAACCTCATCCATTCCCTCCGGCGGGTTCCTCCCAGTCCTTTGGTAGGGTAGTGGAAAGTTGCTTATTTTGGCCGATCTTTTGTTCTCGCCGAAAGTAGCGAGCAGGCCGTCTTCACTTGGTCTCCATCGCCGAACCTTCCCACTTCGTCATGTTAAAACACACACATTCTCATCTATAGTCCCTCGTTCTGCAGGAGTGACTTAGTCGCCATTTGACGGGTTGAAAAGTTAGCTCGCGGAGCTGGATCCGATAGGTCTCATGCTGTAAGACATGATGCCTCCGAAATAGTCGCGTTCAACCAAGCGAGAAAAGAGACTCTTTCGTCTCGAGTTCTGTCCAGTTACGCACCACATGTTGACTTCTCCTGTTCAGCTACGTTGCCGCTTGAACAGGGAGGAAGAGACAACAAATCGACCAATGAAGTCAATGCCAGAGCCTCGTTTTCATCTTACATCGCAGGTGGCCCATTTTCGCTTGATAACTCGGGCTCGCATTGGTGTATCTTGTCAGTACGAGGATTTCCAAATGTTCTCGTTTGGCCTTCATAAAACCTCGCCTCTCACCCGTAGCTTTCAACAAGCGTTTTATACTTTACGCCTTCACTCGCTCCCCAACACACCCGAGACTCAGCCCACGTCATCACCAACGTACCGATATAGCCTTCGGACCCTCTTCAGTAGAAAGCCCCAGGTTTTACTAGTCACTGTCAACGTTCATTACCCCGAAACATGTCGTGCTCGGCGCATGATTACTACGATTACCATGAGAAAAGCAGCCTTTCGAGTCCCTCATGGTGGGATACGGTCTTGAATTCAAATGAAGCTGGCCAGGGAGATCG